AATATTATGAAATTATTTGAAATATTGGGAAATTATTCAAAATTATAGAAAATTTTCAGAAATTATTATAGGAAATTAGGAGATTATCTCCGGAAATCTTTATGAATTTTTATGTTTCAAATATTGTTTAGTTTCTGTGCAATACTTGGTGCTTTGTACTTTGTATCAGTGTTTTGTGAATAAAAGAGTTTCAAATATAGAATATTGAGTAGAATATTATTATGAACAATTTGATACGAGAATCTATTTGATGCCCTCTAGATCAAGCTCTAGATTGACAATTGGAGAGTAAAAAAGTTGAAGCTCTACTTTCAAAGAGTGACAAACTGGATCAAACAGCAGCCAACTTTTGTCACCACCATGTACAGGGTCTGTTCCTTATAATTAGTGCCGCTTCTAAAACTTAAACAAACAAAAAAATAAAAATTAAAAAAAAAGTTAAATACAATAGTTGTAGGGTTTTTTCTCTATTATCTTTTGCACATGTCAAAATGGGAAAATAACAAGTACCAAGTGCCATAATCAGAAACACTTGCATTTTTTAAATGGAACACCCTGTATGTTTTTGGCTAGAGGGTACTTACCACATAAGTATGTTGATATTTGGGTCAGCTGTTTTTGCGGTATTTAAGTTTAAAATTGCATTAAGTAAGCCTCACCCACCATTGATATGAGGAACCGGGAACAGATCTAATTTAGGGTAATGTAAATGCATTTTTTTAATAAAGTAGTGTAAAAACAGATGAACCAAATATCAACATATATGGTTTATGTATTTGGAATAAGAAGAAAAAAATCTATCATTCTATTTAATGCGAATGTTTGTCATTATGACAGTTGGCACTTGTCATTTGCCGATTTTAACATGCAAAAGATAATAGAGATAAAGCTCTACAACTTTTGTATTTAAATTCAACTTTTTTTTTTAAGTTGAAGAGCCACACTAGGCCCTGTACCTACATATTACCAGACAAGATTATTATAAGTAGAGATGGTTGGAAATTTTGGGGAAAAATGAAAAATCTCTTGGAAATTTTGAGAATTATTAGTTTTTTTTTTTTCAGAAATGTCAGAAATTTCATAGGAAATCAGTAATTATTTGGGAAATTTAAGAAATAATTCAGGAAATTCCATAAATTATTTAGGAAATTCTAGAAATTATAGGAAGTACTACTGTCAGGTTGATAAATCAGTGGTGATCATCATAGAAAAGGTGATCATAATAGTTTATAATAAACTGTTGAAGGTGAAAGCTGCAGGTAAAATTTGAGGTACTTGGTTTCTCTGATAGTATTTTTAAAAATTTTAGAACTAAAGCTGGATTTATACAGGAAATAAAATAAAATAAGAAATAACATAACAAATAAACAAAATAAGAAATAAGGCGTTTATACAGAAAAATATAAAATAAAATTAGAATTATTTTGAACCAATCACCACGCGCCTGAACTAACTGTCATCGGTCTGATCTAATCGACGTCGTGACATGCGCAAATAGCATTTTCACATAAAATAAAATAAGAAGTTAAAAGTTAGCCAACTTTTTATTTTTGCTTATTTGTTATCTTATTTTATTTTTGTGTATAAACGCCTCCATGGGTTCTCATAAGGCCATCTTTTAATTTTATTTTATTTCTTATTTTATGTTATTTTATTTCCTGTATAAACCCAGCTTAAATATGTTGAACTTGGCGCAACCAAATACAGACAAACTATATAGTTTTGGATTCAGGAAATTGTGCTCTTCTAGAATATAGAACCAAATATAAGGCATCTCATTTGAAAAATACTGAAAGCGTGCAACATTTCACACTTTTGACATTCAATTTTTGTTTCTGACCATGGATTCTAAAAATTTGGCCAATGCTGTACAACTTTTGTATTTACAGCTTTCATCTTCTTGTAAAGAGGAAGACTGTAGGTGGGGGGTCAATATATAAAAAAAAAACATCCTGTACTGGAACAATAACTTATTAGATAAAGTCAAAATTTGTAAAATTGTCCACTTTTTGTCAATTTGCCTTTCAACAGGAATTAGTAATGTTACTTTACTAAACCAGTAACATAATGTGACAAGTTATTCAAGTACAAATGAGTGAATTGTTGCGGAACTTATGGGTGAACCTTTGCGGGACGAGCGCAGCGAGTTCCGCAGCCATCTATTTATTAATATGTTGTTTAATTACGATACTAACCTGACTCACTAAAATGTGAGTTATTCTCATTAGTTTAAAAACTACACCTTTCAGGTGAATGTCTTACTGGAACAGTTCAACAGTATGTTGGTGAGTAGATGGCTGCGGAACTCGCTGCGCTCGTCCCGCAGAGGTCCACCCATAAGTTCCGCAACAATCCACTTATTTGTACAGGGTGTTTTTTATATATATTGACACCCCACCTACAGCCTTTACCTTTACAGGTAGAAGAAAGGTGTAAATATAAAAGTTGTACAGTTTTGGCTGAATTTTTAGAAACCATGGTCAGAAACAAAATTTGAGTCTCAGAAATGTGAAATTTTGCATGTTTTCAGCTTTTTTAAAATGGGAGGCCCTATATTTCATTCTATATTCTTGAAGAGCACAATGCCCCGATCTATATTTGATTGAGCAATTTTTCATATATTCGGCTCTAAAAATTGTAAAAATACTATCCTACTACTGATTTTGTAAATCATTTTACCTGTATAAGTGAAAGCTGCATCAGGTAAAATTTGAGGTACTTGGTTTTTCTGATACGATTTTTAAAATTTTTAGAACCAAATATGTTGGAGACCGCTCAACCAAATATAAACGGGAGATTGTGCTCTTCAAGAATATAGAACCAAAATATAGCGCATCCCATTTGAAAAAAGCTGAAAGCATGCAATATTACACATTTCTGACATTCAATTTTTGTTTCTGACCATGGTTTCTAAAAATTTAGCCAATATTATACAACTTTTGTATTTACACTTGTAAAGGTAAAGGCTGTAGGTGGGATGTCAATATATGGGTAAAAAAACGTCCTGTACATTTCTTGGACATTCAAGTCATAGGCGTTTAAAGTACCTACAGTAATATTTTTCGCTTCTCTTTCACCTAAGTGATTGACAAATTACCAAAAACATAACTCGACAATTTATTAAAATAGAGGGATGAGCACAAGTCACCTGGGTTGGGACTATGTAAGAAATAGAGATCTTTTCCCTATCTTTATTGGCGTCTCCTCTCTATATTGATTTCGAAAAAAGAGAAGAGGATAGCAAGTAGGTATCATAGCGATGGGGATAACGATTTCTACCTGTTACAGAGTCCTAGCCTTGGCAGCCTTAAAGGTGAAATGCGCGAGGTTAACAAGCATATACTAACTTATGCCCAGCCAGCCGCGTTGCTAGCTAACCTACGTGAAATCCGAGCAAGAGTGGTGGTACTGAGTCATGCACTATTTTAAAGGCTGCCAGGGCTGGGACTCTGTAATGTATAAGGATCATTATCCCTATCGCTATGGCACTTGCTGTCTTTTTCTCTCTTCTCGAAATCACTAGAGAGGGGACGTCAATAAAGATAGAGAAAATATCTCTATTCGTTATAGAGTTCTAGCTCAGGTGACTTATGCTCGCCCCTGTATAATAAAAATACGTATTGAAAAAACTTGGGAGGAGCCCCCCCCCCCAAACCAAAATCCTGGATACGCCTATGATTCAAGTACCCTGTATCTAAAAAACTAATCATAGGATTGTTTCGGTTTCATGAGAACTTTTTATCAGGAAGTCAAGGTCTAACGACGCATATCAAAATTTCATTGAATTTGACAGAAAACCAAATACCCATAAGAGGTGTGCGTGGTCTTTTGAGAAAAAATATTAAAATCTCTTTGATGGTTCGCAGCTGAGAGAATTTCGAAGCTACATCCGAACCACTTAGAAGAAAATTCAAGAATTACGGATTGAAATTTTCTAACCAAATAGAAAAATGTTTGAAAATCAAATAAAAAAAAAACATGATTTATAAATGACATGAAGAAGACTCGAAAACCTGGAATAATTAAGAAATTAAACAAAAAATGAGAAATGGAAAAAAAACTGGAAAAAGGAAAAAATTGAGTGAAACATTAAATAAAATATTATCAAAATAAGAAACAAAAATTGAAAAAAAGTAGCCGTTAAGTTTGTTGCGGAAATAGTTAATTTAATTTAAGATGGTAGTAATAAATATTAATATTAATTAATAATGTAATTTTTACTTCAAGAAAAATGTTGGATGGATTATTGGATTGAAACTTCACAAATGGAAAGAAGTTTGATATTTAAGGAAAAAAAAAATCTGCTCTCTCTCTATTTGAATTTCTGATCCTTAGAGATTCAGCAGCACTTATCCTGATTTTAATAATTGAAATCTGACCCACTCAAAGATAGGTTTACTAAGACCAAGATCAGATATCCAAAGAAAGCGAGCAGAATTTTCCTTAAATTTCAAACCTTTTTTCATCCACTTGTGAAATTTCAATCCAATCCCTCTAACATTTACCTTCTCTCAATGTTAAATTTTTTCATAATGACATCAATGCACATCTTTGCTCCACAGTTATGGTAATTTCAATCTGATTTTAAAGTAATTAGGCTCAAATTAAATCCTTTTCTGTACAGTTTCAATGCAGGTTCAACAAATTCTCCGAGTAGAAAATTTAATTTTTTCTCATACAATTTTCTATTTTTTTCTTCAATTTGATTTTCAAATATTTTCAATTTTCAAAAACTGTATTAAGTACATATAGGTATACATTATTTAAATTGATCATTATTTTCAATGTCTAGGCTCGCACTAAGCATATAAATTAATGACCTAAACTGAATAATAATAACGCGATTAACAATGAAAGTTTTTCCTTTCATTCAACTTAATTTACCCATGCATAAGTTCAATATTCGAAAAACGTATTGAATTGTCTTTTTTTCCTTTAGAAAAGAAAACCGAAAGTAGCACAAAAGGATGTTTAATTTGTTTGAATTTTTTTTTTTTCAGTTGCGGAAATAACAAAATCTGAAAACGATGAAGTTTCATCAAGCACATCGTCATCTAATGACTCCGTTAATAACTGTTACCGAGAAAAAGCATGGAACGGTACACTGAACAGAAACCACGTAAATACTTTGATAGACGAAATGTTTGCTTCAGTTTTAGAAGTGAATTTAAGCAATAATTCATCTTCGACAGAAAGCATTACAAATAAAAACACAACTGTTATAGTGATTAATAATAATGAGCAAACTTTGGATAAAAAAGTACAATTCAATGATCGTCAGAATCATGAGTTTTTAATAAACGAACTGCAAAATATGAAAAACGATGAGAAAATTTTAAAAAGGCAACGCAGGTCGCCTTTGAATCACTTCGAAGACGATGCTGACAGAATACAAAAAAATGACTGGTACGGCTTGAATGAAGGCAAAAAAGTCAGAATGTCGAGTTGTAGTATAAAAATTGAAGACGAGGATAATGATAAATATCAGAAGTAATATTATGTTTTTTGAGTTTCAATGTCTGTATTTATATGTTTTTTTTTTAGGATGAAGAATTTGTCTAGTAGTTATGGCTTGCCTCCACTTCCTAGTTCATTATCAGGCTTTAAGTTTATTATGGACACAAGTGACCCAATAAAAACCATTGAAAAACCACCAGAAGTTGTTGATGAAAATTCAACTGATGGGCAAATAATGAATTTGGAAAAACAATTATCCATATTGAGACGAGAAATGGATAGTTTACGTGAACAGGACTTGTCTCTACTGTCCAAATTGTGGTTTCTCAACGAGTCAATACAAGATTTCCGTCAGATGTTGCAAGACCAGGATCAAGATGACAAGGTTTTAACAATGTGTCCTTCGCCTACACCTTCTAGTATTGAAGATGAAGATTTTTATGTTATATCGACTTCAACGTGTTAACCAATTTTAAGTTATTTAAGTACTTGTTTTAGAAATACATAACAAGAATTTCATTCTATATTAGTGTATATTTTTTGTAAATATTATATTATGTGTATAATTATGTATTTTATTTATTTATTTATTTATTTATGCACAGGTCAAGCCCATTTAAAATTACCAAGCAGAAACAAAGAATGCAATAAGTGCAAAACCATGAAACTCAATTAAATGAAATTAAATCAACTTAAGTTAGATTATACTAAATACAAAATCACATAATAAAATAACAATTATTATAACTTGAGACCAGTGACAGTTCTCGCAAATGCTTCATAGGGCCCAAAAAAATCAATGTCTCCCAGCTCATTAAACAGTCTGAGGGTACGAGGAATGAAAGAGTGATATGCATAGTTGGTTCTGCGGGTTCTGTGAAATTGAAAAGATTGAGTTGTGCGGGTGTTATGTGATGGGACATCTAGAGCTATTTTAGAAGTAAAGTAGAAGCAGTCAATTGTGGAATTTAGGATTTTATGTATAAGTTTCTGTTTTCTTTTTGAGCTAAGGGTTGATAAGTTGAATGCGTCACAAAGTGGTGCATAATGAAATTCTTCATTGTTAAAAAAATTGTAATTGAGATATCTGCAAAATTTACGCTGCAAGTGCATAGATACCTTCAAGGCGATACTATGATAGTAGGGAGGGTTTACCAAAATTATGTAATTTTGTTTTCACTCACCCCCAGCTACCCCAACTTAGTAATCTTAAATGACCCCCCCCCCCTACTTGTGATACCTTATCTGAAAGCTCTTAAAAAATGCTTTTCAATAGTACCCTACAAGCTAGGATTCGATGTAATTATTTTCAAAATAAAACCATTGAAATGTGAAATGTTATTTACCCAATAAACCAAAAACAATTACATCGAATCCTAGCTTTTAGGGT